TGGCGCTGTGATGAACATCATAGCAAATACACAAATCTGAATGGCTGTTTAAATCATTTAAACACGATTCAGAAACAGAAAGTATGCAGCTGCTTTGTTTACAGGGTTTCCGGGGTAATGGCTGCATTTAAACAAATTTATTATTATTATTATTATTATTATTATTATTATTATTATTATTATTATTATTATTATTATTATTATTATTATTATTATTATTATTATTATTATTATTATTATTATTATTATTATTATTATTATTATTATTATTATTATTATTATTATTATTATTATTATTATTATTATTATTATTATTATTATTATTATTATTATTATTTCTGCAGTTTAGCGCCATCTGCTGTCAGAGAGTGAAAGTGCGCTTTCATCCAGAGCGTCTCTCACATGTTCCGCCATGTGCTTCACGTCCGCGCTTGTTTACATCAGAGTGCGCACACGTCTTTCATGCAGCGTACAGCGGTGTTGTGCATTTTGACCAGTTGATGGGAAAAGTAATTTTAAAATGCATTCAAAATTCGGAATAATTTGTAATATATAATTATTCACGGTATTTAGAAGTGCCCACGATAACAAAACCGTGCATATTCATTACCGTGATATATCGCATTACCGAATACCGGCACAAGTCTAAACACACATCATCACACATTCCCAACAGGAGCCCCAGCATGTAACTAGCATCCAGCTGGAGTTCTCAGTGTGTTCAAAGGATAATGTTGCAGAGTTCTATTAAAAACGTGGAGGTGTGAGCCACAGTCATGTGAGTGAACAGAGAGACACTGGAAAGAGGTCACATTGACACCACATGAACACAAACGCACTCCACATGCTTTCAAACTCAGGATTGTCGACTACACAAACACCGAAAGCCACATTTTAGAGTTTTATACACAATGCTCACATACTTTCTGTGAATATCAGATGGCTTGAGTACACTTGTAAATAACTGTGTTTGGTTTTTGCTTTTGTTCATTTTTGTTTTGTTTTGTTTGGGGTGAAATATCCCTTTAATTACAATTGACAACTTTCTGCAGAGAATTATTGAAACACCGTGCCAGCTCCTGTAAATAATATGTTCTAGCTTGTCTGTAATAATCAAATTCATCATTTGATCGTCCTTCTTTCCCACTGTTCCCTCCTGCTGTGTGAAGCTATTTAAAACTGCATCAGGATGAATCATACAATTTAAACTTTATGATTTGTATGTAAATGTAAAGATCCCAATTCTGCAGTCACATTTTTAAGCACAATAATAGATTGCATTATGCCACCGTAGATTGCATTAGGTCTCCACAGATCCTGAAGCAGTTTTAACTTCCTCTGTGAGTTCCTAAGTGTGTTTATGGTGTTGTGTACTGATGTTTGTCTCTCCTCTATTGCTCTCCCCAGTTCATTTCCCTGGTAAATGTATGTCTCACACCAGCTCCACATACACAGTCACAACCTGCAGGATCCTGCACCCTACAGATGAACTCACCAGAGTCACACCCAGGTAAAAACTGTGTGGTCTTTCCATAATACTGTCTTAACAACTTGTTAGTATACATTATTTTATGGATCATTTCAGACATTTTTGGCTAGCACACAGTCAGAAATAGGTGCAAAAATTGTACTATTGGTACTATTATGAACCTTTTGGGGGTAAATAAGGTACAGAGTTGTCCCTTTGGTGGTACTGCCCCAAGATGTTGTACACTTAAAGGTACAATTTTTGCACTTTTTTTGTGAGAATGTAGGTGAAAAATAAGGGGGGGGCGGAAACAATGGTCAGGCAAAAATTGAGCAAGAATTCTAGTCCTTTATGAAATCTGGGGCTTCCAAATGAGGGCACATAAAAAGAACAAAGCAGGGAGAAGCAACCTTTGGAACCATAATACAACAAATGGGACACCCTATGGTTTATTGTACAGTCTTAATTCTGTATTAAGGGTTCCAGACAAATAGCTTGTCTCTATAGCAACCATACTGTACAGCTGTGTAAGATGATGCTGTAGATGATGAGGCGGCTCTCTATCATGTAGTTCTGGTGGCGGGCTTAGAGCAGACTCACTGAGCAGGGCCCCCTGGGGGTGAGGATGAATAGCATGACTAGCCTAGTACTGATTAAACCTTGTGTCATGGGAGTGTGCTATTCTCTAGCCAAACACAAACCACTCTAATATTCTAACTGGATGTATTGTAAGAATGTTTCTCAACCTAACACCAGAACCTTTTTTCTGGGAGACTTTAAGCATTATGACATAACCAATTTATGTGTAAATAACACAAACTGTGTATGAATCTGTGATTATGTCTGTGGGTGTATTGTAAATTATTGTAAAGCAGAGTGCATTAAAGAACAGAATGATAACAGAGCCATGATGTCTAATCAAATAATGTAACAATATATAAATCCCGTGAGGTTTGATGTCAACAGGCTGTTAATCTATAATCAAAAGAATTTGTATCCAAAATGATAATGAATGAATGCTATTGAATTTAATATATTAGCTTACTTTTTTTTTTTTTTT